AATGCACAATACAAAAATAAATATAAATAATACTACTAATGATAATAACGACGGCAAGAATAACATATATGCTATCTAAATATCGAACAATACTATAAAAATCTCTCTATATACAATGGTATAATAATCTTTAAATACACCCAAAACAATAAGAATCTATTTAATATAAAGTATTGTAGAAAGTTATATTTAACTTGAGTATTATAAACAACACATCCATGATAATAAAAAGATTTCTTGGCTGTTTCAATTATAACGCGAGGCAAATGGTATTATTAAAATTGAAATATTGCTTAAAAAATTGAGGACAGTTACCAGAAATGCATTTATTGACTAATTTAAAAGTATGTTCGTCTCTTCTCGACTGTAACTCAGGCTATTTAAGATCCCTTAAAGCTTTGTCACTATCCATAGATCTCAAAACAATTTTGGATGCCCTTCTTTGAAAATTATCCAGCAGTCTGGCATTGCCCACTCCACAACAGTTCCATACAGTGTCGCCATAGTCAAAAATTGGACGGATAAATGATAGATATAAAGTGTTGGCAGCATGACAAGTTAAATCTCTTCATAATTGAGATAGCATACTTAATCTTTTGCTAGCTTTAGATAAAATGTACTGAATGTGGGGAGCCCAAGAAATAGTCTCATCAAATATAATACCAAGATAGGTCAACATGTTTACCCATTTTAAACTTTGTCTGTGAAAAGTAATATCAAAGTCTATGTTTAGACAGTTTAGAATGAGCTCCAAATAGCATGGCATCAGTCTTGGTGGTATAATTTAAGAAACAAGCTGTTCACTTGAAGACATTCACCCAATGTATTCAGGTCTTGATTCAGATTGTCTTTGATGACTTAAGAGTTAGATCCAGCACAAAACAGAACAGTATCATCTGCATACATAAGCACATTACAAATCCTAATGCAGTGGAGCAAATTGTTGATATGAATAACAAAGAGTAGAGGGCCCAATATGGAACCTTGTGGAACACCAGATTTTAATTATAAATTCTCCCATCTGTCTGCTACACACTTCCTCATAACTTAGTAATGACAATTTGGTGTTAGACCAAGATAACAAATCCCCAATAAGTTTGAGTATTCTTATCACCTACATGCTAAATAATGCATGGATATTAGATGGAGAAGTTACATGTTTCTGACCATCAACCTGTTCTGTATTTGAATTCCCTTGGTAGAGATTTCATGAAGCACCTTTGATCTTATTTGTAAGGTGTTTCCTGGTCACCAAGAGACATTTGAATGCCTCTATTGGATTATAATTTAAATATTTTAGTTAAAACAACCAAAGAGATGTACTCTGTATATGTTATTCATTAAAGATTGGTGGAAGTTGCAAAGAGAAAGAATTCTTTATATTTTGTCTCCCAATGTGCACCCACTGTGAAAAAAAGGAACCCTTCAAACTCAAGAGTGACCAGTATCTAATTTTTTCCCCAGACAAAACATACATAGGCTGTGAGATTAAAGGGGATGATTGCCAACTAAGGTAACCTCTGTTTACGAGCCCTTGGCCCATCAGGCTGGTGTTTAACTCCAGTTTCTGTAGCATGAAGCAACTAGGAATATTCCTACTCCCCCCTGGATAGGATGCTAGTCCATTGCAGGGTTACCCCCAGCAATAAATTTGCCGGTACTCATTTAAACACCTGGGTGAAGAGAGGCACTGTGAGAGTAGTGTCTTGCCTAAGAACACAACACAATGTCCCCAGCTAGGGCTCA